CGGAGGCAACAAGAGAAAGCTCTCTACCGCCATCTCCCTCATCGGAGCTCCGCCTGTTATATTCCTGGTGAGAAACGATTCACCAAACAGCTGGAGAGCAAACGCCAATCTCTCCTCCAATTATAAAAGTCAATACCACTAGATAACTTGGATGGACATGGGGAAAAATCCCTATGATTTTACATTTGAATAAATAGCATTTTCTAAATAAAATAAAAAAACATCATAGATTTTGCATTTAAAACTTCACAGCTGTCACCTCAAGATAAAATAAATGTACTGCTATTATACTTTTGTTACCTTGATTATGTGGTGAATCACTAACTTAATGATTGGTGCTACTCACTTATGAGTAGCAAGCTTATATTTATAATTCTTTCTTATTATGATTGTTCCCTTGAATTTTAATTTCTTATTAGGATGAGCCCACCACTGGCATGGACCCAAAAGCCAAAAGGTTTCTGTGGAACTGCATCGTCAGCGTCACCAAAGAGGGGAGGGCTGTAGTCCTCACCTCACACAGGTAGGAGCAGGTGTACACTAAATATTTTGTATACTAAAATACATGGCAGGCACAACTTCCTGTTCATTTAATAGAGCACTGAAACATCTAAATGAATATTCTACTGCTTCATCACATCTCTCCTAAGAATGTCCTCATAGTGTATGTATAAAAAGTGTTTAAGGTGTTTTTATCTTGTACGGTCAGTATGGAGGAATGTGAGGCTCTCTGCACCAGAATGGCCATCATGGTGAACGGCAGATTCCAGTGTCTTGGATCTGTACAACACTTGAAGAACAGGTAAGCTTACTTATTTCTGTGTAACCTCCATAACACAAGTTAAACAATGAATGAATGTTGGAGATTTGGGTTGTTATGTCTCACATCTCCACTGCGCCTAACTAAACCCCTCGCCTGTATCAGTTTTCAAATGCAAAGTGTGCTCCCTGATGTTCCCATGGAGATGAAACAATACAAGCTAGCAAAATGTATATAGGTTATTAAAATATTGCACCTTTTGTTGTGGAATATTTTCCAAGGCCCATAACTTTGACCCAGTGTATCAGTTCAAACTGTCCTGACTGAGCACAGGCACCTGTAACCTTGGCTGCTGTGCTCTGTGTTTTGTCTCCCTGTTCCTGCCTGTTGGCGTCAGCTGATAGAGGTGTTATCATTCTATCTTGTTATGCAGCATGTTGATGATGCTCTCTGAACTAGCTAAATACAGGGGTCTGGGGTAGAGTTCTTCAGAATTGACGTGGCAACTCTACCGTGGAGTCAGAACCTCTGACTCTTGGACTTGTGATGTGAATCCTCCGGCCGTTAACTCCAAATAAACCATCATGTGTTTGACATCAAAGCTACTGCTCTTCCCGTGTCTCCTTCCTGAGTCGGTGACTCCCACTACATAGCTACACAGAAGTTTCCTCTACACCTTTCATAGACATAAGTCAAAAAGTTCTTAACTGTCAAGGAACTAAAAAGTAAATAAGAATCACATACAGAATCAAACGATAAACCAGATCAAATATACAAGGGGAAAACATGCATAGGACATAACTTAAAACTAAATATACAGTATATCTGCAATATAGATCTACTGTAAATACCATTCTGAGTTTAACTTTTTCTATATTGTGTGTGTTTATATAATTAAATTCCATTAAACTGTATTCATTCATTGTATTCATTAAATGTCGGTATCTCCCAGGTTTGGTGATGGCTACACCATTGTTCTCCGCCTGATGGACAATATATCGGAGCCGGCCTCGTGCCCCATCAGCAGCTTCATGCAGAGCTCTTTCCCCAGCATCGAGCTGAAGGAGCGCCACCAGAGCGTGCTGCAGTTCCAGCTGCCCTCACACGCCTGCTGCCTGGCTCGGGTCTTCGAGGTTCTGGCCAACAACCACGAGGAGCTGGGCATCATCGACTTCTCGGTTTCACAGACCACTCTGGACCAGGTGAGAGCAACTCAAAATCCTGCATCTTGTGATGTAATGGTGCTGAACCGTGATTTTCTGTGGATAGAACTAAACCAATCTTTACATCTTAAATATCCTTAATGGAGCCAGTGAGTCACTTGCTCAATGGATGCTATTTCCCATGAGGCTTTGCTCTCTGGCTGGTTTTACAGTAAGGCAGCATCAATTAGATGATGAACAAACTATTGTTAAATTGACAATCATATGTCGACAATAAAGAGTATTGATAATCGTACTATATAACTCTAATTCGTATCTGCATTACCTATATTATCACGCACTCTCATTATTTGACATGAGTATGTGAAATATTACAATGGTACAACATGTAGATCGTCTTCTTATTTCAAGTTACAGTGTACTTAATGAGGGGTTGCCAAGTTGTATCAAATGGAAAAAAAGAAAGTGTTCATTAAATCTTCCAGCCACATTTATTGATATTTGGTGCAGCAGTTCTGTTCCAATATGTAAAAATGATTATTATAATAGTTTATTGTATTTTGTTACTATTTTTTCTATTTTTCAGGAAGAAATCTAGTTTCAACTCTTAAGTTTGTAGGTTTTGCTTTAAAAGTGGTCAGTTAAGAGATGTTAAGAACAAAAATGTGATGGCTAACTGACCATCATTACTGTCAGAGCAAACCAGGCTAATTTTAAATCACTCAAACAATGTGACATTAAACCTGATTCATTTTTATAGGTGTTTGTCAACTTTGCCAAAGAGCAGACGGATGACGACGTCCTCACTGATGTTATCATCAGCAACAGTACAGTACAGACCAAACTGACCACTTTGGTTAACAGGGTTAACCCTCCCACCATCCTTCCACTGCCGCCCATCACTCCCCCTCAGCCGAGCAAGAGCCCGCAGCAGCCCGCAAAATCATCTGGCAGCAAACCCAAGGAGGGGAAATCAAAAAAGCCCAAATCTGGCATGGTGAAATCTAAAGAGGGCAAAGCTAATGGGGAGAAGAGCAGCAGCATGGCAATGACACAAATACCTCAGAAAGAGGAGAAGGCTCAGAGGACGAGCCGGAGGGCCAGCGGTGGATCAGACAGCAGTTCTGGTGGAGCTCAGGGAGAAAGTAGTCAATCCAGTAAACGCAAAGCGGAGAGCTCCAGTCAAAATCCATCTGCACTGTTCATAGTCGACGGCAAAACACAGGACAGCGTACTGTGAATTGGACTGCTGCAACACAAGAAGTTTCGAACACTTGCTGTACGTTCATCCGAATGTTTTTCAGCGCAACAGGGCACAGGGTTAGAAGTGGAAGAGATGGACTATGAAAGTTACTGTAGGGGTAAATGTATCTCCTCTGAAAAAAGAAAGGTGAGTACCTCATAAAATGGCTTTGGTGCCTTGTTCACCTCGTTAACATATCTGTAGCTTTTATACCCTTTTTTGGGTTCATAAATCTTACACTGTCTTCTCTTTCTGCATCAATGTCATCAATCCAAAGTTGTAGATAATATTATGCAAGGCTCAATGTAAAAACAAGGGGTGGCGTTCCTCAGGGCTCAATCATTAGACCTCCCACAATCTCATCTTTACTTTGCAAAAAGCACTTTAAAAAAAAGAGAATGCTGCAAATGCTCAAACAATGACTGAAGATCAGGTGTTACATTAAATGATTAAGATGATTTTATGTATTAAAGCATTTAAGGGGTTGTTTCACAACAATATACAGTATATCTGTATAGAATTGTTACTGCGGGTTCATTGTGAAATACCTCTTAAATATTAAATGATGAACTTGACAAGTTTTTTTTTAATTAAACATTTATTTTGTCTTTTATCTGTCAAAATATTCAGATTTATTTTTCTTGTGTGTGGGTAACAGTCACTGTTGATCACTAATTAGGGCATATTTGGCTTTTGTATTTTAACAGTATGTCACATTTGAAAGCAAACTCAAACTTCCTGCACAGATCTTAAAGGTAGAGTAGGTCATTCACTTCAGAAAAACTTTGTTATATTCCATGGAATGCTCTTAACATCCCGATAGCAATGAATACATGAAATGCTTTGACAATAAATACATTTAAAAAATGTATCTCTGGAAGCCGTAGTACTGTAAAAAGCACGACCAATCATCTGAGCCGGCCCGGCTAAGTAACTGGATGGCCTTCCTGCCTGTCAGCCTTCCATCTCGTGCCCTCATTGGTCATGTGCGCGTTCGTGTGTGTTGGAGGAGGGGCTCTGTAAGAAAGTCTGAAGGAAGGGGCAGATATGTTTTGGCTGCGTACTTTCAAATTCTAGCGCACTCGAGCTGGTTTCTCCATTCTTACCTACCCTACCTTTTAATAGATCTGCAAATCTCAATTAATTATGACGTAACAAAGTGTTGTTAAATAATGCCAAACTGCAACAGTCAAAATTAAATTATATTTCAAATCAAATAGATCTGAGATCTATAATACAAATAATTAAAAATAGGGTTCAGTCTGACCAGCAAACACCAAACACAACAGATTTACCTTCAGTCAAAGCTGTTTTTTTTTTAAGATTCTTTCCATAAACTGTATTTCCTCTTTTTTCTATCATTCTGTCACAGCAGCTGACTGAATGTCCAAAGCAGGTTCTTACTGCACTGTTACATATTCAAAAGATTGTTACAAAAGTGACTATAGGCATGAAACAAATATATAACTGTTACAAGATCAAATGTTTGAAAAGGTTAATGTATTGAGAAGGCTGAAATGATGCAGGAACATAAAGATGGATTAAAAAGGATGTCATTTCTGAATGAACGTCTGTACAACTGAATGTAATGTTAATGTATTATGCTTGAAACGTTCTACTTGAACCTTAATGTATCTGTGCGTCTACTATAAGATGAGCATTATATACTGGAGATATGCTAGTATAGGAAAGGAGAAACGGGTATATGTCTGTTGTGAATGTTTTGTCCTGAAGGAAAATAAAACAATATGGTTTCCTGTATACTTTTTAAAACATGCTGTGCGTCCAGTTTGTTGTTTTCGGTGAATCACTGCTGTGCGTTGGAAGTCGGGAGATTTATCTTCGTCATTGTGAGGCTGAGCATCGGTGTTGATGCAGATAAAAGTGGAGGAAGGATCATCGGTTTACACGACATCTCCCCACTGATGCTACTGCTTCACTGTTCAAAGACAAGAGAGAAACCAAATGTAATGGATGGTTTTCTACACACTGGATCTACCAATATTGCCACGCTTATATTCCAGTAGTATTTAGACCATTATGGGGCTCTAAAATGAGTGTTAATGCTCTTAAGGATACATAATAAATGAATAAGGTTTCGTATATAATTTAAGGTAATAATCCTATAGGTAAAAAACTAAAATATTACACTATGTTCACCTCTGTTATAGCTATTATATGTGTACAGTCTTAAATTGATGATATTTAATTTAACTTTCAAATAAAATATGAACAATGCCGTAGCTTAAATGTAATCCTTGTAATGTACTACTGTATTCCCCCTTTGTATTATAGCTACAGTAAAATACAAGATTCTCAAAACCACCATGCATGCGTACATATTGGCCAAGTTTGTCTCCTGTGGTGCTTTTTTCTCTCAAGTGCTGCTCTCTAACAGCCACCAGGAGATGATCTGCTGGCCCTTCATCACCTCCTCTCCTCTTCCTCTTCAGTTTCTGTGTGACCATCTGCAGCAGAGTGTCCAGGCTGGACAGGGAGATGTCAGGAAGACGAAACTCTGGAGACCTCTGCAGAGAGAGAGAGAGTAGAGTCATTTAGACCTGTAGGGTGAGGATGTTTTAACCCTAACACTATCACAGACACATAACATTTCATCTAAAGCTGAATTGAGATTGACTCCTAATAATCTACAATTGCACCAAGGTGTGCGTATATGTACAATCATAATTGACATGAATGATATTACCAGATCAGCAGCTCTTTGAATAGCCTCTAATGTTTCCCCCTTAGCCTTGTTAGCAGAAGCGATTGACAGCTCTGAGATTAGTAGGTCATGGAAAGATGATATCCATTGCTTAATAAATAAAGCATGTGGGGGATTCCATCGTATTACGGTAATTTACCTATCATTATTTTTGTCTACTTTGTTTTCCATTTTCAATGGGTAATGATGCCTTTTTGTATTTGTTTATATCAAAACAAATCTTCATCTCCTGACCTGCTAACTATTTGGTTTTCCTATTGTATGTTTTATTTTCATTATTGTGTATTCAGCTGGTTTAGTAGGTACTCACACTTTTAGAGATCATGGGGTTGTCCATCCAGAACCTGCAGTCTGCTTCTTGTCCTTTAACCAACCCGTCGCCTCTGCAGTCTTTTGTAGTGACGTTTGGAGAGATGCCTCTTGTTTTTTCCGATAATCTGATAGGAGGCAGAGGAGTATGGCATCTCTTCTGACACTCACAAAACTCAGCAGCAGATTTAGGTTGAGTTACAGGTGGCAGCACAGAGCCAGAATTTAATGATTGTTCAATATCAGTATCCAAATGTAATCCCAGGAAAGAATCAAGTGTTTGTTCCACTGACTCATCTGTGCTGCTGGTTTCTGTGTCTTCTTGATTTATGCAGCTGCTGTTCTCTTTCTTCTCTTCGTCCACATTCTCCTTGGCTGCAGCCAGGACAGGCATCAGGTTGACACAAAGTCTCATTTTATTCCCTGAAGTCTCACATGTAGTAGCCTTGGTTGAGATCGAGTTTGAGGCGGAGACTTTAATCTTCTCCTTTGATGTCACGGTTCTCATCTGGGGAAGTGATATCTTCATTTTACCTACGATCATCGGAAAAGCGTCTGGTTCATGTTCTTCTAGTTTTATCGTCCTTGTCTTCTTTCTCATCATTCCAACAGTTGTATAAAAACACCTTTGATAATCTTTAATGGTGTGGTTCAAACATCTCTTGCAAATGCTTTTTAAATATAAAAAGAAATGACCTTTGCTGTGTTTTGTTTCTCTCAGACGCAACAAACTGAACAGCTCTCCTTTTCTCTCTAGCAGCAGTGAAAAGAAAAGCACAGAACAATTGGATGTTGCAGGCCTATAAAACTGGCTGTTATGGTAACATGCACACAAACTCCAGTCACCCTTAATCTGTGATTTGGGAGTCAATGTTTTTTGTTATTATTATTGTATCAAAGTCCCAAACAATACATTTGCTTTGGTTAGTGGTGCATAGACAAACAACTGTTTAAATAAATACTATTTGTAGTTATTTATTTAATTAGATACAATGTTAATGTTGAAAATAATGAAAGAGAGGCTGGAGAGGGCAAAACATATCCTGAGATGTGCTAAAGTTCAAAGTATTTAGAATAAAAAACAGGCAGAGATAAATAGGCCTTTGTGTATTTACGTGAAGATAATATTCAATGTAACAGGTATAAACCTATAAACAGGTGGAAAAGATTGTCGTTTACCGCCACGGCTATAATATTGTTAACAGTTATTTGTGTAACGCGATACAAATGTTCATAGGCTACATGTTATCATTACAGAAATAACACATTAAAGTACATAGTCAAATAATGATTGAAGGAGGAAAACACGTTTACAAAATACAAATGTTTTTAAATGTATTTAATATAATTGATATTGTTAAAGTGATTGTATGTTTTGAAGCATTACAACATGTAACTATAGCGACAGAGTAAGAGAGCTCCTCATTTCCTCCGCTCTGTGTTTCAGCTTCAGTTCACTGTCAGGCTAGCAGCCGAGAAGCGATCTTCCCACAACAACCCCTGCCAAACTCACCTTTTAAACTTGTCTTTCCCTCGTTATTGCGTCTTTTTGTTTCTACACGGTCCGTAAGGATACAAGGCGTGTTTTTCTTCCCGTGTTTGTGCAGGAATAAAATGGTGGTTTTGACAAATAATGAAGAACAGGATTATATGTGAGTAAAAATAACGCTAGCATGCTAGTTTGCTTTAGCTTGGATGACAGTTACATAGCCATTTTTACCACCTCTCGAGTGCCAGCTCTGTTGATAATCCTGCTCATTTGTTGACGTTACTTGGAGTTAAATCATCTGTATGTTAGCCGTTTAACAGCTGGCAGCTAACCCGCAAACCTGGATTATTTTGTTTGTGGCTCTTTAAATTCATGGTTAAATCTCGCCTGGGTGTTTACTTTATCTGATGAATCCTTCATTTGGCACTTGCTACAACACCGATTATTCGTATTATGTAGAGATTTCCTCGCTAGCATGTACAGTTCAGAGGGAACATATTGCTTACATTTAAAATATGGTTTAAAACTACATCAATGCTTCTGCCTGGTTACTTAGATTCACGATTGCTAAAGTTTGCATTTCAAGAGGAAATGATATATCTAGTGTTGGATAAACCCCACTAGACGGGAAGAGATTACATCAGATGATGTGGCTGTAGTGTTGCTAACAACCTGCAGGCTAAAAATGGCAACACCCACTGACCTACATCTGCAGCTCCTGCAGGAGGCCATTACTTCTCAGATGCATTTAGAAAGACTGCAGAGATAAGACACAAGCAGCACATTACAATAAATGAGATAATATACACCCTAAAGCTCTTAGCTATGGGTGGTTTAAGTAATGGGTAGTGATGGCAAAATGAAGCTTTGAATGAAGCATCGAACCACTTGGACAATTGTGTCGGAAATAGGTTCATTTCTCGAAGCTTCAGTTACAGCGACCTCTCCTGGCGACGTGCAAGGCTGCAGTGGGTTTAACGTATATTTGCCTTGAAAAATATTCGATACACACACACTAAGACTGAATATCATGTTCTATTTGCAATCAAAGATTGATAATTGTGTGTATTGGGTTATTGAGAAGAGACTAGAGTGCTGTAAAAAAAAATTGGGAGGAGAGGGCCTTTTAACAGTTAGGCCAGGCATCCTCAAACTACGGACTCCGGTCCGGATCCGGACCGAACCAGCACTGTCTCCGGACTCTGAGCAAATTATACTTTTCATATGTATGATCTCTCTGTATTATATGAGAGACATCGCCACAACGCATTCGCAACGAGTCAAAATTCTCCGCTATGTCCACTGCAAACAGCGCTCTGCATGTCTGACTGTTCCACTGTGTTCCACCTGTGTGTGTCAACGCTTTGGTCCAATCACATTCAGCATCCAGTCAGCGTTTTTTCCCCCCAAACAATCTGCGAATCAGAGGCACAGTAGGGCGGGTCTTCGCGGAATGCGGGTGGGAAAAATGTGTGTGTCTCTTTCAACCTGTCTAACTCAGAGCGAGAATTAAAAAAAAAAAATTCAGAGCGAGAGTTAACAGCTCATCTAGTTCCATCTGTACTGTAGCTAGTAGCCTAGTTTCACCTACTGGGGTGGCAACTGACACCCTAAAAATAGGCCTTGCCACCCCAGCTGCCACCCCAGTTGGCAGCTTTGTTTTGAAAGAAAAGTTGTGGCTCATCGGACATTTATGAGAGAAAGTCTCTAATGTCCGAGTGCAAGTGAATGCAGCACAAGATGCACGTCATGTAACCCCTCCCCCGGTCCTGGCGCGAGCGTGGACATACGATTTGGCGGCGATTTCATTTTTAACTGGACGGCGCAAAACGAGAAGCATTCGGACTCAAGCACTGAAGGAATGAGGTATTTGCGGTCTACAATGACAGAGAAGAGACTGTCAGTTTGGCTGCACTCAGCATTGAATCAAAACGCACTAAAGCTGTTGATCTTAATACGTTTGTGAGGCGTTTTGCTGAACAAGATGGTAATCGCCGCATTCAGCTGTAATAGACATGCCAACTTGATGCTCTGCTCACGGATGAGCATACACAACTATTAAGATGATGACCTTACGTGTGTAAATATATTGTTTTCTTTGAGGGGGTCTGCCCCCAAAAAACTGTTTTAAGTCCTGAGAAAGTCAAATAAGACGGTGTGTAAAACTACACTGCCCAGCCAAAAAAAAGTAACCACTTTGATTGAACTAGGCCAGTAGGTAAGGACTTTCCACTGGATAATAACTGCAGTATAAAAGAATGCATGACTGAAGTGATGGAGACCATGTTGAAGGCAAACAAAAAGAGGAAATAACAGGTCAAGCAAATCCCCCTCTCAGATTCCACAGCAACCAGAAGAACATAAATACTGGCTGGTGATTTGATTCATCAGCTTTGTGATGGAATAGAAAATGCACAGTGCATTTCCTTAGCTGTGGGTGAGTCCACTGACACCACTGACAATGCTCAGTTGCTGGTGTTTGTGAGTTGTTATGATGAGGCAAAGGGGGAGTTTGTTGAAGATGTGTTGGGCCTGACGAACCTCAGTGGACACACAAGGGGGCAAGACATTTATAAAGCAATAATGGGAATGCTGAATGAAAGAGGGTGCAGCTGCCTTTATTCATAACTGTGCAGCTCTTACACTGCGACTCTGAGGGGTCAAGCACAGACACAACAACAATGAAAACTGCTGCATACAGATTATTTTTGTTTTTGCAACCTCGTGTTAAGAATCTTGTTGCAATTGTTTAAAAGTTTGAATGACCGTAATAAACGGACCTTTGTCTTATTGAAACATTTATTTTGGACCTTTAAGATTTGTATTTGAGTACCCCTGAGTTAGGCTATTAAAGTATTAAAGTTGAAAAGCAATGATTAAAAGTACATCCATTCCGGGCTTTGAACCAGCTGCGCGGAGGACATCGCCTCATTCGGGCCGCCGGCTTTACCCACTGGGCTATCTATTCCTTAAAATATTGAACTGTTTTTATATTACTGATAATTGTCTTTTTGTTCACAACTTCTCCACATTTCGAAGTGTTTCCCGAGCCAGAACGACCTATCTTTCTTCCTGGCTTGCTCTATAATGATACGACAATTCAAATGCAACAATGCAAACTACGACGACCCACACATTGCGCATTGTTTAGAGCGGTCATAAAGTGTTGAAGCGCTCAAATTCAGTGCATTGAATCGCGTGAATGGCCCGCGAACCAGTCAAGTGATTCATTCAGGAAATGAAGCAGTTGCTGGTTCGGACGTCACATGTCACGTGATTTGAAGCAGTTGCTGCTTCTGACGTCTTATGTCACGTGATTTGAAGCAAGCTTCGAAGCACTGCTTCTATGGAATAGGAAGTCCAGGGTTGAAGCGCCGTTCGAAGCTTCAGTGTCAAACTGCCATCACTAGTAATAGGGTATCATCTTTCACAACCACTCTTTTCTTGCCAATAACATTTTGTTGTAATGATATACTGCATTGTAGCGTAGGTCTTATCCCTGAACGAATAAATTAAACTTTTTAGACACAGAAACAGAGGGATAGCCCGGTGACCTAGCTACTGAATTTTACAAAGGAAAAATAATAAATCAATTCACTTTCAACATAAAATGTCTGTATTTTTGTTAACTCCAAATAATAAATCAGTACATCAAACAAACATACTCGTGTCACAGACCATTTACCAGATAAACTTAACTCCAATACATACAAACAAATAAGCCAAGTTAACTCACAAAACATCAATACATCCTGGGGATTGACTGTGAGTGAGTGTGGGGGAGGGGAGAAGTCTGTTTTTTCCTTTGTCACTTAGTTTAGGAGTGTATTTCAGGGGATAAGGATGTGTGAAAGTAAAGTTGTAAAGTTCAGCTTTTCCAGTCCAGTGTGTGTGTGTGTATAGAGTGCTAGAGGAGGAGAAATTATATTGGTGTAGTGAGAACCACTTATCTGAGGGTGACAGGCCAGAATAGCTCACTGGATTGCAGGGTTAACTTGGAAGGGAAAAGTTGAATGTTTCCCCAACAGCTCCTGGGTTCAGTGGCAAAAACTCCCAAAATATAGCCTGATTCAGCTGATGAAGTCCTCAAGAATCCACTTTTCTCCTTGTAGATTCCGACTTCTTCTTGCTTCTTTCTCCCTCCTTCAAATGCCATGCTGTCCTCCTTTTAACAGCACACAGGTGCCAAGCATTCTCTTGATTGTTTCCTCCAGTTTCTCTCAGGGGTGCTTGATTAGCCACTCCCCTTTTTCTCAGGGAACTTGTAGGAGTGGGTTTACTTTCTCCCTGTCCTGCTACAGCATGGCTGTACTGATGCAACGTTTCACCTTGTCATTCAGATCATTTGCAATAGACTAAGTGTGCTTTCTCCTGTGCTGTGCCTTTCACCATCACCCCTCCTTCATACCCGATATACTGTATGTTCCTCAAAACTGAAGGGTTATACTTTTTTCTGAATGCCTTTCCCTCGTGGTTAAAGACATTGGAGGAATGTTAAAATAGTCATAGCTTCATACAATTACTGTTACCTATAAGATTTGAGGTGCTGTTACTTCCTCTTTAGAAGTTGTGTGACTAAATGACCTATTGGGACATTTGTACTGTGTTTTCTCAGCCTGATAGAGGAGCGTCAATGCAGCTCCCTGCCCAACTCTCCAGCCAAGCGAGTGTCTCCCACCAAAAAGAAGCAGTTCTATATAAACCAAGCCATCCGCAACTCTGACCTCACTCCTCGAGCCAAAGGCAAGAAGAGCCTTCGCCGACTGGAGAACAGTAAGATCTTTCTATAAGTGATATGATGTTGTTATCTGCAGCAGGATGAGCAATGCCGGACAATCCTTAAAGACTGAGTGCCTTAAACAGTGAAAAACAACATTTACATTGAATCGTCACCTCTTTTAAATCCTCCATCTGTCCTTAAGTGTTGCTCATATCACAACTGTCCATGTCTTTCTTTCCCTTCTTCTCTTATAACCAGCTCGCTACCTTGCTAATCTTCTTGAGAAGGATGAGTGCACCAAAGATGATCTGGAAGTTTGCAGTAACCCAGCGATCCCATCCATCTTCACTGAAGCCTGCACCAACGGAAACTACATAGAGGTAAGTTGTCTTCAGCTGGGCTCAGAGAATATCTTAGGTCTTTCTTGGTTTTGGATTTCTTTAGTTTTTCCCAACACTAAAAACAGTACAGACAAGTTTTGGGGGAGGTTTTTCCTTTTCAACTCCTGACAAAAGCCAGAGACCAATAGCTTGTCTTGCTCCAAACATCACATCTTAGAATCTAAAAGCGCTCATTAAAGAAATATATGTTAAAAATGTGCTTTTTATTCTCTTTCTCTTTTAGCCATGGAATGACTTCATGAATTGCTCAGGCGAGGAGCAGGAGAAGCTGCTGTCTCTGCTGGAGCTGGAGGGGGCCAAGAAGAAAAGCACCAGCGGCCCGCTCAAAGACGAGAGGAATGGTGAGCATCTCGGCCTGTGATTCTTTGTAAGCCGGCTGTTGAGTAAAGTGCGGCTGTTTGTATGACCCTCACTCATCTCTGCACAGTAAATCCTGCCTTCAGCGCTCAGGACTTCTTCCAGAGGATCGATCGCAGACTGCGAGCGACTCTCAAACGGAAACAAATCCCCATGGTGAGCTTCATCTTCTCCGTACCTACAGTGGCTTTAAACTTAAAGGTCCCCTATTATACTGTTTTTCATCAATATATTATACAGGGTTTCCCACACATAGACTATACTTGGGCGGGCCGCCCAGGTATATTAACGGCCGCCCAAGTATATTTCGCGACCCATTTAGGTTTTTTTTTTTAATCATTTTTTTTTTTATTCGTCCGTGACCACAACGCCATCTGCGATCGATTAACTTGTGGACAATGATCCCTCGCTCCCTTGCTCTGATCTCGCCTCCTTCTGGCCTGTTAAGTGGCCTGCCTCACACAGGGTGACTGGCTGTCCACATGATGTGGCCTGCCGACATGGCCACTGTCATACAGATCATAAATCAAAGCTGAGTGTTTAGATAGTTCACTTAGTCTAAGTTCTCAGTGGGTCTCAAACGGTGTGGTCACCATTTATGTAAACACATATTTCCATTTGAGAGGTTAGTGATTGGTCTAATGCAGGGGTCACCAACCTTTTTTAGGATGAGGGCTACTTTAAAAAAATAAAACAAGTCGGGGGCTACTTTTACTCCTCTTTTTTTTGTTTTTTGCAGTGTATATATTTAGCACATTTTAACATTATTATATGCTTATCTTTAACCTTTGTGTGCTGTTTGGGTCTGTGGGACCCGTTTTCAGTGTTTACTAAAATAACATGCAATTTAATTATTTTAACCTGCTTTATTTGGGGACGGGCCTCACCTCCTCTAAATGAAATGCATCAATTTGGTGCACTTTGAGCACAACATGAATTTATGGATACAGCTCTCAACACTCAGATGAAAGGGAGCTGTATACTTTTCAAGAATCCAAACATCTTTAGAATATGATCACAACCAATAATAAATCATTTAAACTTGTTTATTCTTATCTTGTGTTACCACATTCTTTCTTTTTATTTATGCATATTTTACTAATCACTCCCCTTTTAAACTGTTTTTGTACTGTCCTATTGTACACATTGGAATGATTTCTTACTTTATCTATATTAAATAGATAAAGGGGTACACTCACACACACACACACACACACACACACACACACACACACACACACACACACACACACACACACACACACACACACACACACACACACACACACACACACACACACACACACACACACACCCAGGCTGTGTGGTGGCGATGACGGTTTGCGTTAACAAATAATAATAAACATATCTGTAAAGTGGGGGGACACAAACGGGATTTCGAAAAGTGCTGGGGACATGTCCCCACTGGAGATTACGCCATGCGTGTGTGGTCAAGTGCAATAAATAAATATGCAAGTTGCAACACACACAGTAAAACTCTGCCCCTCATGTGCTGTATAGGCTGGCATGATAGGCTGTTCAATGGGGCTGATGTGTTGTGTAGATTCTGCCAGAAGGAAAATTAGCCGGGAGGTGCCACATTGCTTTTCTTCCCGACTGCAACGCTGGTCCATGGATGTATAATAAGAATGCGCTGGTCCCGCAAATCAAGCAAGAACGTGATTGGTCGATATTCATTGTGGGGGAGGGGGGAGGAGGGGTGTTAGATATAGAGTTGTAGTAAGTAGATAGAGTTTGCTATGATTTTAGTTTCGTTTATGCATGTGGTAGATTCTTTTAATTACATTTCCTTTTTTGTTTTGTGTATTTTATACATTTTGGATTTTCTTGGCGAGCTATTTTTAGAACGTGGCCGGCGGGCGCCTCACGTTGCCCCTGCGGGCGACTGAGTGCCCGCGGGCACCGTGTTGGCTACCCCTGGTCTAATGGATAGTGAGGTGGGCTGAAGATCGGAAGGCTGTGAGTTCAAATCCCGCCAGGAACACCACCACTAGTGTGCCCTTGAGTAAGGCACTTAGCCCTTAGTTACTCCAGGGAGAATGTCCCTGTAATCGGTCATTATAAGTCGCTTTGGATAAAAGCGTCAGCTAAATGAAATGTAATGTGATTAGTAAAATATGCATGAATAAATAAATAAAAAGTTAACTAGGTGAAAAAAGGTAAGATACACTTTTAAAACTTGTTGAGAGAAAACTAGTCTTTGCTGCTGCCTCAAAGAGGAGCAGGGGGAGAGGAGGGAGACAGGAGAGGCTGATTCAGGAGCACAGACACACTCACAACTATAAATGAACCAAAAATAAATTAATAAACAAGTTTCAGTGTTTTTTTCATATTGGAAAAGGTATGTTATTGGTTATGGCCATGATTTTATGATTATTGAAATGTATACAGTTCTGTTTAATATAGGTGTTTCCATAGATCTAGTCTCTTTATTTCCCCCTCAAAATGCACCAGATTGATGCATTTAACTCCGAAATAAAATCTTACCGGGGGGGCATGCCCCTGGACCCCCCTAGAGGATTTGAGGTCGACCCCCCCCTAAAAATCACATGGATAGGTTCCTAAATACATTTATAAATACATTTTTTTTTAAAAATAGTAATTCATTTCCATATGTTCATGTGTGGGGGTAGTAGATTTAAACTATAGGGCTATCATTATGGGCCCTGCCTGTATCTGTTCGCTCTGCCATCGCGTGAAGGGTCTGCTAACAAGCGACCAACAGAAAGGTTAATGTTGTTGCACGTCACCTCAACCCCCCCCACCCCCGCTACCACCACCCCCCAAGTATATTTCAGATCTGTGGGAAACACTGTTATAGGTCTCAGATATATACAAACATGTCCCTGAAGTGTTTCCTGAGACTTTCAGAATCTCTTTACACAGAGGGTACACATGTTTATGTATAAAAGACATGACAAAGTGGATTTTGCACAATAGGTGACCTTTAAGTCAAAGTCTCAATTTGTGATCAGTTGTCTGTCCGTACGGTGAACAAATACCTGGTGGACTAGTCCTTCCTGCATCTCTGCTGTGCATCAAACCCAGAGGCTTCACTAGCTTGTTGTCTCGCAGTCACCATCACACAAATATGTGTTTCCTTTTCCTAGTTGACGTCAAAACAGTGACGGGCTGTCACAGATTTTTTCAAATGACAAACATGTTTAACCACAACCATGACTCAGCAAGAAAGCCCGCAGAGGTTCAGTTTTTTTTAGCTCAAGCACAAACCAGGCTTGGGGACTCATGATGGGATGTAGGTTGATCCTCCTGGCTGCCACCCAATGTGTTGTTTCTCTCCTCACAGGGAACTCTGGAAATACTTGAGGAAAACGTCCTGAGCTTCTTCATCGCTCAGCCCAACTCTGTTTACACAACCAACCTAGCCAGCAGGTAGAGATCCTTTTTCTATATTCAGTGTAGGGCTGCTCAATTAATCGTATTTTAATCGCAATTACGATTTTGGCTTGCAACGATTATGAAAACAACATAATCGAAATAAAACGATTTATTTATATATATATTTTATTATTATTATTATTATTATTTATTTTTATAATATTATTTTTTGTTGGTTTTTCAGTTGAATTATACTTAAAGTTCAGGGTAATCAACTGTTCAAAACACACTGTTCACATTTTTTTTTTCAATAAATGGATGTTTTCAAAGTAAATGGATAATCGTTTTTAATAATCGTGATATAAATTATTGACCCAAATAATCGAGATTATGATTTTTGCCATAATCGAGCAGCCCTAATTCAGTGTATATGCAGGTTTTAAAAAAGCTTTGAATTGAATTCCCCTCAAATAGAGAGATATCAAGAAGTCTTCAAACTAATACACAGAAGTCCTTCATATTAATTTGTTGCCTGCTGATGTTAGTTTATAAAGATGTGTTTTGTCAGATGACGTCCCATTGGCAGGCATTGTACATCTTTAGTATTCCACCTACATATTTAATTCCAAAAGTGACATCATGTAGTAGGATGATTTAAAATCCTTTCCATAGTATTATAAATGCCCAACTTCTATGTTGTCATCTGATAAGCCTCCCCTCATGGATGTGTTATTGAAACTGAACTTCCTGGATCCTGTTTCCACTCTTACGGGTACCTGAAACAACAGAACCCACCGATGCAGCAACCTTTTGTTGTTTAAACACTTCATCTGACAGACATGCAGGCTAATGGCTCTAGGTGATACATCTTGGTCATGTTTCCCCACCTGGAAAACCAGTTTGTATTAGACCCACACAATGAAGGGAGGAAGGTAGCAACAGCAGGACAAACATTAAACAAAACAGGAAGGGTACAAATCTCAAATGATCGACATTAAACAAACACAGAGACCAAGTGTATTGATGTATGTTGGGAAACTTGATGATTGTTTCTCCAAATGGTTAGAAAACACTGAGGGGAAAATAATATCTCTGTTTGTGCATCAGCTTTGAGAGGCTGCTGCTTCACGCCGTCTGCCAGTACATGGACCTCGTCTCTGCAAGTGAGTGGAAAATAATGCTTTCTATCGCTTCCTAATATTTGTGTTTGAAATGCATCAATGCAAATCAATGCCTTGCTTATAATTGACAAACATACTTATAAAGACCTGACCTCAGCACACAAACAGTTGTGTTAAAGCTTTTGAACTCTACGTTTCATACAAATTAGATTATTGTGTTTGTATAATCGTATTGACACAGTCCGGCTGCACGTAAAAGGCCAGCTAAAGGTTTTTTCAGCCGCATGAGAGAGATCAAAGTCTTTTCCTTTTTTTTTGGACCTTCAGGCAGCGACTACAACGGGTCCCGTCAGACTGAGGTGGTGAACAAGCAGGAAGAGTTCCTTCCTCCTGGGCTCCTGCTGTCGGCCCACTTGGAGCAGATGAGCTGAGCCATGTTTCCTCCTCAGAGCTCTGCGGCAGCCAGGTGCTCCGACAGGTGGAGATAAATCTGTTTGTCTGGATAACGTCCGCCTGGTTCCTTCCTTCCTTCCTTTTTCCTCTGTCTGGTCTCTGGTTTCTGTATCCATAAATACGTGAGAGTTTATCAACGCCTGAATGCAGACGGGTATACATCCTAAACATTAGCATGTTAGCATGCTAACTGTTGGCATGTGAGTATGCCGCAGATAGAATTCAGCTCAAAGCCTAGCTAAGCCTGAGTACATGAGGGTGACATAGTTACAATTTCCTTGCCTTGAGAATAACCCTTTTGATTTTATCCTCAGGCAAAATGCTTTAATTTCTGCCAAACAGAAAATGGTCTGTGTTGTCAAAGCAGTTTCTCATTCAACCAAAAATGTTGTTGTCTGGTGTGAAAGAAAGCATCATGGAGCTGTGTGGCTCGATTGAACTACTGTTTTCATTCTTGGGATCAAATGTTTTCCATGTTTTCCAAGTCAATTAATTAACATAATAATGTTATATGGATTGTTAATTCTTCATTTTAAGAATATTATAACCTCACAACCTGATTGTTGATCTTGAATTCACAACTAGGTATACATAATACAAACAAATCACACTTGTTTCAATTTCCAAAGAACAAATGGCAACAGTTCATAATCCTTGAGATTAGCATTCAAATTAATTTATGAGTTGTATATTAGAGCAACGGTTAGTCAAGAGTTGATCTATCTGTCCCTTTTCACAGTGCAAATGATAGCATTTAGAAACGACTGTTAAGTAAAACATCTTTCTTTCCAAGCACAAATTCAGAACAGTACATAATGACAATATTAACCTAAAAAGTAATGGAATAATTACTTAAATAACAGACTTGTATAAAATATATCTGTGCAGCTCTGTGCAGGCTGCAAGGAGTCATAGAGACATGTTGCAAAGGTGCTAAGACTGAGGTATGCATAAGGAAATATATCACTGCCTGTAGGGTCATCCTGTAGGGCATGAACATGTATCATTCGCTCTTCATCTGAGATACAGAAGTAAATTATTTGCTGGGAAAGTCATTCTTAAGATTCTTCTTCTTTTAAGGTACAATTTATTGGATATTTCTTTCATTTTGTCTTTCTCTGCTGGCTTTGTCAAGTGTTATCACCTCGACTACTCGGCATCAGGAACATTCTTTCCCCGATACACACTAAAGTACATGATTGTGTATGTATAGTATGGCAGCACTGTGGCTGAACAGGTTGCTCATGTGCTGCTTTCAATGCACACTGGTGTAGACGAGGTGTGAGTGTTATATCAGTCAATAATCAAAGACAAGCAAAGGAACTGTGCTATAGTCATAAACTGCTTATGTCTGTACATTTCAATGTATTCAAGGCTTTCTTGCTACATGCACAATGCTCACTAGGTTTACACACAAGCATAACATTACAAGCATATCTTTTTTCACATAAACATTTAATATTGTTACTACGGTTTTAAGTAGAATGTCCAATAGATGTGTTACACTGGTAGAAATAAAACCATGTTACTTTGTTTTGATGATAAAAGCCTGCAGAGTTTTGACTCTGTATGAACATTAACTCTTACAACAGCACTTCTGCCTTATGAATACAAGTTTCTATGTTTTTTTCTACATTTGTACTTGACTGGATTTTGGAAACAATGTGTAAAAAAACTTGACATGGTGCATTTTGTTGTCAACCAAAGTTTGTGTGTTTGTTTGCGTTGAAATGTTATTTCTCAGGCTCTGAATGTCACGTAGTTCATCTCACATGGTGTCATCTTCTGTGTACTGTGTCCTTCAACATGAACTTGTTTTGGTCATGTTCACCCCAACACGGCGGGGCGCTGCCAACTTTTTAAATATAATAGAAGTAGTTGTGCCTGTAAAATATGAACTCAGATGATTTACTTGTTTATACACTTTATATACTAGTCAAAAACATCTTTGTGTATTTAATGATATGTGTGTACTACAGCAATTATTTATAATTATCACTGCATCTATTAAAAGGATTTCAAATATTTCTCCTTATATGATTGTGTAATCTTTGTGCACCCTTTTTGTATGTACCATCTTCCCTTATTAACATTGTATGAATATCATAGTATTCAGATATTCCACTTGTGTTGTAAAAGTAGCACAACTCAACTGCAAAAATACAACTCCTGGAGTTATAATGCTACATATTTACAGAAGTAGAAGCAACAACATCTGAGAGTATATCAAAAGTGAAAGTGTGATTTTAGAATGTTATTTTATCTTTTTAATTTCAATTAAATTACTAGATTAATGTGATTGCATTGACATAAAGTAAAATGTACTTAGTGACTTTCAATCACTCTGTCAAACACTGCAGATTCTCTGTTTGATTTCCATTTACACTTTGAAAGTCTGTATTAAGGCTTTTCCAATGTTTGCTTCCAAACATGTAACTTACAATTTTGTAAGTAAGATATCAAATCAAGTGATAAGCATTATGCAAAGATATTAAATACTAGAATCCCATTTATTCAGGATAAATAGAGGATTTTAATAATAAAAAAAGATGATGAATGAGATTTAGTTTTGGAGATTGTTGAGTGAATGTTTAAAAAAATCTCGAATTATAATTGTGTAAAGTTTAACATGACAGTGTAGACCTTTAGTGGTGGTGTCTGGTGTGGTAACCAGGAATCCTCTGGGTTTGCTCTGACTTGGCACTAGAGGGCGTAGTTGTACAAACAAATACAGCCACTCCTAGATGAAGTATTCAGACCCTTTACTTAAAGTACTAATAACAAACTGTTATCAGGAAACTGAACTGAAGTATAATGAATGCAGAACAAATATGTTACGGTTGAAGTGGACCTAATCAATGATTATTTAATGGTTATTTTTGATTAATAAGGATTTTTCTACTGATCATTTACTCCATAAATCGATCAATTGTTTGGTTTTATAAAAAAACCAATGCATTCATTTTAGCCATATGATTAAAATACTTACAAGTACCTTAAATGTGAACTTCATCATCTACTAATGAAGGCTGGATACCCACAGAGCTCAATGAAAGCTAAAACCTTTTTTGGCAGTAAACTGCATAATTTCAAACATCCTGTTATTAAATGAAAACAAACAAGCAGAGGTAATGATATAACAAACATCGATTCAATGAATACAACGTATAGGCCCGGCTGACAGATACGACTCATTAATATTGAACCTAACTTTGAAGCATCGCTTAAACATTTATTAGTAAAGTCTTGTGATGTTCTCGTTTTGTCTATTCCCCTTAAATATTTAAGTTCAAATTCAATTATCTGATGAATGTTTCTCCATATGCAAGAACATAAACTGAAACATTAAAATGATCAACATCAAATAAATGAATCACTTTATCATGAACGCATACATTAGAAGAAAAAAACACTTTCAGGCTGAAAAACACTGCCCAAAATATGTATGTGTGAGTTTTCTGTTATGTAATGTACTTTGAACTCTTATTTGACTTGAAGATATGAACATTAGGTAGAACAAAATGCTTTTAATATTAACCCTTGAGTGATTAAAACTTTTTTCAAAGTGTTGAAAGCTTGATTATTTCTGAAAAATGATTTATGTTTTGCACTTTGTTGTGTTCTCTCATAAACGTTTTCATTTTGTTGCTCGACATCATAGGGAGTATAAAACTATTAATTTCCTGTGTTGACAACACCCAGGCTGAAACGTATCAGTGAGTGTTTCATTATGTTGATGTTTAATTTGAAGTGTGAAGTGGTTACAGTTGTCATTAACAAAGTTGGCCCATTTAATTTTAATTTCTCACTGTGTCACACCACACACGCTTCTCTCCTGGATACCATTACATCTGAGTAGGGAGGGGGAGGATAATTTTTCTGTTTTAAATATCTCAAGCTCTTTATTTTAGTAAGCAGCTGCAACCAGTCACTGCAGTCAGCAATCCCACTGTAAAATCTGATTTGGAAAGAGATTATATGACTGGTGACTTTTGGGAGCTGTCAACAATTTCAAGCCGAGAGTTTATTGAACCGTGGCTAGACATATCTTGAATGTAGTTTATTTTCAGCATTTAATGTTGGTTTTAATGTTCACTTCGATACAAAACAACAACATCCAAACCAAGATAAGCCAAAGATCAAGTCTGCAACTCAGCATTAGTAGTTTCTATCAGTCTGGTGATATCTTACTATCTCTTGTTTAGTGTTACAAATCCATTTATCATTCAGTTAGTAGGGCTCCCCATGTGTTCTGAAAGAAAAAAGATCCACCCTCATTTTTTCAAAATTAATGTTGTAAAGCTTTATGTCATTAAATGACACTTTAGCTGTACAATTTGCTTGGATGAAGAAAAAAAAAAACGACAAGTCAGTTTTATAAAAGGCTGGTTTAATTAAATAAGATGAATTCTGATTAACTTTTAAGCTTATTTTATGCAGTTTCCACACCAAACAAGAGTAGTATTTCTCCCTTCAGCCTTACTGCTGAACAGGGGCTCGAAGGGACCGTCCCTAAAAGTCTACACCGATAGAAAATGTAAACACAACAGACAAGTTACCACAAGCTTAATGACATATGCCATAACATATTAATTGAAAAACATAAATATGAATATAAATTATACTTGATGACTATATTGAATTGGAAAATCATCATGTATAATGTTTCAGATAAACTTCGGACCCAGGCCCTTCCAACATTGCAACATAGAAAACTTGAGACATACAAATAAATAAAATAGTGACATAAAATAAAGCAAGATAAAACAGAATTTGAAATAAAATAATGGACCTATATAAAGAATAAAAACGGTATACTACAATAATCGACAAGGATAAACACTTGTGTGTATTAGGAGCATATGAAAAAGGGTGTGTGTGCCCACTCCCAGCCCACTTTATATAATTCACAACCGTACATTTACAGACACCCCCTGCTCCTGTGGGTGGGGGTGCTGATTCAGAGGTTAGGAATTTGCATCTGATTACTGTTTGTCAACCAATGACGTGAGCGTGCAGGCCGGAGCGTCTCTCCACGCCTCTCTCTCTCCGGCTGTCTGCTGCCTCAACCCGACACTCAAACTCTGAAAACACAATTACACGCAAAAGACGAATGCGTGGATATCATGCAGTCACATGAAACCACTTTATTTCCAGCCGATAAACACACGAACCTCCTCTCCTCTTCCTCCTTCTGGTGTTTTCCTCTCTGTGTGTAATCGAGGCTGGATTCAGAGACGGGGAAAACAGGAATGTTTCTTCCGGTTTCAAAGAGTGTAAAAACCGAACGGAAGCCGATGTGGTAAGTTTATTTCCTTTTTCTCTCTGTTTATCTTATTTATACGGTTTTTCGTTTTTGTTGCTTCCGTTTTTTTACTTGTCACTTACAGGACACCGTTTTTCTTTTTCTTTTTAATCGATGCGACGTTATCAAATCGCCTGATCGATAGTGCATTGTGAAGGTAGCAGAGGGGCTCACCTGCCATATGTCACCCAACCTACGTAATCTAAAACCACACTCACTTTAACTGCACTATGCCTTGTAGTAATATCTAACGGGTCTTTGATTATAATGCACCTTTTTTGGGTGGTTACAATTACATTATAAACTAATAAATATAGTAAAAATACAATGATGTATTATAACTAAACAACCAGTGGTCATATTACCGTAACTGTCAGTTATAAAGTGTACTAACGTTCTCACCAAAATACTCTTAGAAATGTAAAACCATAACTCTGCTCGCAGCACTACTTCATATAACAAGCTGATTATTGACAATATAGTCCGGTGTTAGCAAAATAACGGATTTAAACTAACCCACTCGTGTTTGCTGTTAAAGATGTGTGGACAAAATTGTCGAATTCAATTGTTTCGAAATGATTAAAATACTCGGCGTCGTCACGTCCTGTACAATTTGTAACTCATTGTTTAGCTACCACGCCATTAAAAATCGTCTGACGTCAGAGGCCTACATCTTATTGGAATTTGAGTTGATTAACAGTCAGTGAATGTGACAGCATCAACTAGTTGGTTTATACAGAACGTTTGGTGTGATGAAATGTCATGTAGGGGGTCAAAACCGATTCAGGGGGGGTGATTCAGAGTCACATGTAGCTTTATGAATGGATTTGAAGCACTAATTATTCAAAAAACAGAGTGGTAAAAGGTAACTACAATTACTTCGACAACATTTCTGAAGGAAGAGTGTAGGATTACTTTTTACCACTGTGCTTTGGACAGCTGTATTAGCCCACTAGTTTGAGATTGTAGATTAAAAACATGTTCTGAGTTATATGTAGGCGATAACACTTAATTTCAATTAATTAAAGTGATGCTTTCACTTAAATGCCTCTCAACATAGTTTGTGTATCAACATGTAATGGGTTCTTCAGTGGCCAAAGTTTCATGAAAATCTGGCCAGTCGTTTTTTGGTAATCCTGCAAATGTCAGCCCTGTTTGAGAGCTTAACACGCATAATCAGCCTATATGTAATTTAAGGATGTAAAACTACCTGTCAAGGTAAAACACAGGTGCAGATCTGCCTCATTCTAATATCCAACTGATACCATTTCTTAAAAGTGTTTAGGCTGCTCTAGTCTCTCTCAAGTGGAAAGTGGAATTGCGTAACAAAGGTGGTGTTTGTGGATAAAATAGTCTATCACTATCTGTTAGTGGCAGAGATCAAGACAAGTCCAACATGTCAGAGGAGTGATATGGACACAATGAACTGCCTTCAGTACAACAGTAGGGTGGTGGGAAAATCCTCTTTATCCTTCTGTATGACGTCAGTGGATATGAGAAGGGGGCACCAAACTTGTCACTTGTCATTTCAAATGGATTAAAAAAAGAACTCGGTCGCCCTCCTGATTGTATTTTTCAGGAGAGTCTGATTGGTTAGTCCACCCTGAAGAGCTCCACATCCACAACTACAAGTGACTTTTTTGTGGTTGTTTTTAGACTATAGTTTTTTCACCAAGTAGTGGGGGTGGGGGAACACAGTCACGGGAAGCTAGTATAGCTTAAAAGCCTTGTATAGTACTTAGTCTGAATGACCTTAAACATATATATGTACTGAGAGCAGTTATAGAATGTGCCGAGTTTAATTGTTCTAATCTAATGCATTTTCAGAGGCTGTCAAGATGAGAACTTGAAGATAGTTTGTATTAAACAACCTATAGTTGCTTTATTTCAGATGTACATTATGTACAATATATATATGTATATATATATATATACATATATATGTGTCATTCTGATGGGAACAAGGTTATGAAATATCCTTGGGTCTGACCATTTTTCTGTGATGTCACAAAGTAATTGGTAGAGGATTTTGAAACCAGAAATTTGAACAAGAGCAGGATGAAGGGGACGTTTACTTTTAGATATCTATGGAGAAACAATGATTTTATCACCAGTATTTTGTCCAATATTAGTCAGGTTTTACGGCACCTTGTTTCTTATGTCGCTACCCACAACGTTTGACTCGAAACATTTATGTCAGAAGGCAGGTCACCTTCCTATGGCAAATGTCCTCCATGCGACGGCTTAAAATTGTGGTTGTTTCTTTGTTTGTAGCCTTTATTTAACCAGGTGAAAGCCCCTTGAGATCAAAAGATCTCTTTTTCAAGGGTGACCTGCAGGACATTAGTTACACATGTAACATAGAAAAAAAACAAAGATAAAATGTGAGGTGTTCAATTTTTGCAACTGCGGTATCCGAATATGATTATTAGGTACTGAAAGCACTGATAGATTTCCAGGCCTTTTCGCACCCTGCACCCAACCATGCTCCAATCACCGTAGAGGCTCGCCCAGAAGTTGCCACACTAATCTGTTTGGTCCAATCTGGCATATGGTATGCTGTGGCCCACACAGGACTGCTGCCCCAGCTCTGTGTTTCAATGCAGAGAAATACTGCTGCAGCCAATGGATGGAGAGGGGTGTTTATGCAGTGATTGGCCCTATTGTGGATTAGAAATGTATGGCAGGTGATCAAGTTCAGGTCTTAAAAGGCCTCCCCATGCTGTGCCATAAAGCATTTGGTCCCTCAACGTATACAACTCTGTGTAGAAACCAGGTTTACATAAAGACGGCTTGTTGTTGCTCTTCATTGTGGTTCAGGCCCGGTTCTACGGGGGTGCATAAGGATGCATTGCACCCTCAGTTGAGTCGTTATGCACCCTCATTTGAAAAATGAAAAGTGAAAAATATTACATATATAATAACAATAATAATAATAAGAAGAAGAATATAGTTGAAATAAAATAAATTCTAATTGTGGTTAAATAACATTGTCTGCTGCATTTATTTGGTCAATTTAAACGGTAAGTAACGTTATTATGTCAGGTGTGCGTGACCTGTGCCGCTGCGCGTTCGTCATCTGCAAGGTGCTTACACAGCAGTCAATGATGGACATCAGAACATGGTTAAAACAACCAGCCCTTATTGCCAGCAGTAACACTGCATCTACTGCAGGTAATAACAGTAAAGATCATGGGGACATTACGGGGACAGGCGCTCATTTTGCAGCTCATGGTTTCAAAACAGAGATTGGCTGGAATATTCATGCAAAAAAGATGCCATCTTCTGCTATGCATGTAGACATTTCGGTCTTAAAAGGGGAGTGATTTGTAAAATATCCATAAAGAAAAAGTAAATCTGTTAACAGTTCTGTTTCATATGGGTGTTGCGATGTATCCATAGATCTCTTCATTTTGCTCTCAAAGTGCACCAGATTGATGCTTTTAACTTCAATATTTAAAAATAAATCTTCCCGGACGAGCATGCCCCCGGACCCCCTTAGAAGAGGTGAGGACCCCCCTAGAGGATGTGAGGACCCCCCTAGAGGAGGTGAGGACCCCCCTAGAGGGTGTTAGGTCCACTCCCCACTTATAAAAATAGCACTTCACCACTGCACCCTCTCTGATCTCAGATGCACCCTGAGTCTGGAACCGGGCCTGTGTGGTTTCACATACTTTGAGGATTTTCATGATTATTTGGTTGTTGTTTCTTTCAATGCTAAAAAGCAGGTTTTCATGTTGTAAGCCGGTTACAGCGTATGGGATTTAACCTCCCCTTCATTTATTGAAAAGAGATTAAATGTAGAGCAACTTGATGCAGTGCTGGAATGGTTGGTCATCAGAAAAATAATCGAAAACAACTTTAATAATTGATTATCATCAATCATTTATCAAGAACAAATGCCCACACTTGCAGGCTCCGGCCTGTGAGAATGTGCTGCTTTTCAGAGTTTTTAACAACATTGTTGATTAAATATATTTGTTGCTTTTTTCTGAATAGTTGATGAATAAGAAAGAAAAGAAAGTCCCTTGTAACTATTTCACCAGCGCATACAATGGTATGACTTGCTTGAAGTGAATATATCTGCACTTTCCTTCTTGTTCGCAGTTTGAATCTTTATGGTTTTTTTAACTTATTGTTATCGCTTTGGATAAAAGCGTCAGCCAAATGAAATGTAATGATTAAGGCATCTGTGTTTTTCCTCTTGTTGTTTTGACGTTGTGTGCTCTTGGTTTCTGGGAGTGTTCCTCTTGACATGTAAACTGGTCTCTGCAGCATCTTCTCGGATCAAGTGTTTGTTGTGATCTGTGTTGACAGGTTTATTAGGCATAAACTCCTTCAGCATTTTTGTTTGATGATGATGTTTGTATATTCACACCTCTCCGTGTTTGTTTAATGTACACATCAAGATGCAAAGCAGTCATCCCTGTTAACAGTTAATCAACAATTACCTCCTTCCTATGGCCGGTTATATTTACAAGCTAACTGATCCTTTTAGATTTTTGCATTTAAAAAAAGAAGTTCATAACCTGTATTTTATGCAAACCTGAGGGTGAGGAAGGCTAATATCTAGTGTAGAGATAGATGATTTAGTATCACCCATTTCTGAACCTTCAAATATACCTATTTGTTGTTGTAAATCTACAAATTTGACAAACATACTTAAGTAGAGCATTTTGTTTCAAATCTGTCATGTCAATGTATTAAATGCTCAATACAAAACAAAAGGCTTTCACAGAACTGAAAGGCACTTGTGTAAGGATATTTAGCTTGAAGGGATCTAAATGTATCGTTTATAGTTAGCAGAATAATACATAACAATGTAAATGTTCCATTATTGTCCAATACTTTATAGACCCCTATCCTGCATCCTTAATCCAGAGTCAGACAGCTTCCTGTCAGCTCACACGCCTGATCTCAGCCTGGCGGTATTTGTAATCAGTGATTGTAATGTACAAATAGCCTGCTCAGTTAGCCTCCGAGCATCATGGATGAAT